TGCAAAGTTGCATGCTTACACATTTACTGGAAAGGAATTTAACACAAAGCCGGGTTTAAAATGGCAATAACAAACCTATATGGAATTCGGAACAAACTTTTCCAGTTTGTTTCTGTATATCCGTGATGAAGAACTACGATTATTTATACTTGGGCTAACCTTTCCAAAACTTTAGTTGTTCTCTGACTTTCATCAGGTGCAGTTCGAAATTCCCTGAGAGTTCAATCCATCCATGCTTTGAAGATCTGCCAGGAATGGGGAAATGCTGTATGAGTCAGATCTAATATCACAATGTCTACTTACAAATGATATGGAAAGAAAAAGAAAGACTAAATGAATTCGATTAGATAAAAGATAAAATTCTAAAATTTCCAGCACCCTTGTGTCTGGCGCATGTGTAGTTCTACCAATATAACAAATTTAGTCCGATGAAGCACTGAAGGACGAAACGCGTCACAAGTAAACATTTTCACTTCGTCATATATATATATATATATATATATATATATATATATATATATATACACACTGCGTGCTGATAACAAATATGGCGCCAGTTTGTTTACATTGCGCAGATCAGTACGAAAATTTCAATGATTGCGCAGCTCAGTATTGCCAACATTGTGTGCAAATTGATTGAACGGTTTTTGAAATATTAGAAAAAAGTTATCTCAATAATAATTTGGCACGCAGTGTACACCCGTACCCTAAACTTAACCTCTTTCTCGAACGTAACTCATAATTGATGCAACAATAGTTAATAAAAATGAACACGCTACCGCCCCTGTCTGAATGACTGGATTCCTCTGTATCCTTGGAAACAGGAAATTATGAATTTATATGTGCGCTTAAAACTCAGTAAATTTAAAAATAAGTTATTACTGTGTAGCGAAGAAACCATATTTTAAATCAGTTAATTTATAATATTTATGTTCTGTAAATTTACATTGAGCACTGTTTTGTAAAAATAAAAAATTTTCAATAAGAACACCGGACATTATTTGGACTATTGTCCTCATCTTTGTCGTCATATTTGCCATAACGTTTCGACCGTTGTAAGCTCCGGCTTCTTCAGGTGGTTAGAATTTCGAACTGAACCATTTATTTCGCTCTACTGGGGTAGATTGCTCTAGTTCTACGTGCCATGCTAATTTCCCCTCTTAACCGGGTATTGAACTCACACTCTTTGGGTCCTGTCACTTGATCTAACCAACGACTTTATCCACTGTGCCATGTATCCTTGAATGAATTTCTACGCCATGTATCTGGGTATGAATTTCTGCGTATTATAAACCAAATGTCTTCAGCACCATTTTTACCAGTGCTCATATTGCAATTTTGCTGTTAAATATATATATATATATATATATATATATATATAACGCTATTTTACTGGCTTGTAAAAATCCACCTGTGGCCATCATTATGAAGAACGCCAAACAAATCGAATTTTACTGGATTTTCAATGACCCCCCGGGTCCTTGAGACTGAAATAACAATTCTAAATATTAGTCGTTTTAGTTTCATGCTACCATTCCTGCTGTGTCAAATCTAATGAATCTCCTCGGCAACTAGTAGCCTTCAGTGGGGTTGATAGAATTGCCCACCACTGGGCTCTGATTGGTTAGTCTGACCGTTTAACCCTGTGCCACCTGGTGACGTCAATAGGGAGGTAGATATTAAGTATAAAACAACTATTCAACCGCACTGTAATTGCATAGATGCTGCTGTTTAATATTGGTTTAGCCTAGGTTCTTGGGTGCCGATTGTAATAAATCTGCCTGTAGCTTCGTTAGGCTGTGTAGTTTTGTGCTCTAGTGTGTGTGCGTGCGTGCGTGCGTGTGTGTGTGTGTGTGTGTGTGTGTGTGTGTGTGTGGCGACGCGAGCGTAATTTTCCTGACTCAGCTTCTCAGTATTTCAAACATCTTCATAATCATCATCATTTTCGACATGATATCTATCGTTATCACCATAGCCACCAAAGTCTTTGACACGGACACCGGATGAAGTCGCGTAACAGACTCGATTGTTTTCAATAAAAGAAACATTCCTTCTTCTGACGGGCATAGCCTTATTATTAGTAGGACATTTTATACAAGAAACGGCAAGGATACCCGGCGTTACACGGCCAAGTCGTTTTCTTTTGATTTCGCTTCGCTGTGGGATCATTGATTCGTATGAGGTCTTTGATTTGCATATGCCGGAAATTCTTTTCGGCGAATTTGTCGTAATTGAATCATTTCAAGAGGTTTTAAACATTTTGACAAGTTATTTATTTTATATACGGTATGATATAATATAACATTTATTACATTTTCCGTAAAGTATTTTTAGCCATGATCTAGTGTTACTCTCTTTACTACATTCAAGTAAGAAAAAAGAGTTATTTGAATTTTAAGTATATTTTTTAATCGATTTCACCCCAAGCTAGGCAGTAAAGCGACTAAGGCTCAAGGGGTTACTGGGTGTGGAAGAATTAGGAACAGAAACTTTAATAATGAACGGAAAGAGAAAAGACTACTCAGAACAGTAGATAGCGATTGACGTTGTATTTAAATATTTGCAGATTACATTTGGTTGGGAAGCGTGGAAGGGAGTTCCACAAGCGGGAAGTGCGATAGAATAAAACGTTAGCATAGAACTTACGGTTACATCTAGCCAACTGATGAGATCTAGACGCCAGTCAAGTACTGCGCTTAAATTCATACAGTCTAGGTAGCATAGCGAAGAGCGCATTCCAACAATTACCATGAATGTATTTATAGAAAAGTCACAGAGAGGTAACCTTAAAGCGATGGAAAAGTGACTGAAGCCGAGCCACCAGATTAGGACCAATAATATGGTTAATTCTTCTTTGGATTTTATCAAAGAACTCAAGGTAAATAGCAGGGACACCACATTATATGTTACTGTAATATTCTAAGCATGGACGAATGGTAGACTTATAGGTATGTATGATAGATTATAGAGAGAAAAAATCTCTAGCACGACACAGTGAACCAATTTTCTTAGCAGCTGACTTCGAAAGGAATTCAATATAGTCTTTTTATGCTGATGGAAGATAGAGAGGAGTCTTTCAGGCGATTAATGGAAAAAAGTTTAATTTTGGAGGCGTTTTGAACATCGGCTGCCATTTTGACCTTAGACTGATCAGCCGAAATATAAAAAATATGAAGAAAACAAACAACCAGATTATAAATTAACAGTAAAACACAATTATTTAAAAGAGATTTTAAAGCAAAATAAACCAACTATTTATCACAATTAATTAAGGCAAAAATCATTTGTATCGATTCATATATGCTAGTAGATAAGCCAATAGACGGCATATATTTTATATCCCAGATTTACGTAAAATTACCATATATGGACATAGAAGCAACTTTTTCTATGTATTTAATTTCTAGTCAGAATATAATTACAATAGGAAAAGACAGGGAGAGTGTATGAGTAATGCAGTTAGTAGTACCGTACAGACACTGGAAGTGGTTGTAAATGTCACTGTTATTCATCAGATGATTCCAGTGCCGTCTTTTTCATAATGTTATGGAAAATTTTAGAAATGACGTTAAAATTTACTTACTTTTTATTGGTTATACAATTACACAGCGGCAGTGCATTGTTTACAAGATCTGGCCAAAAAAAAAAAAAAAAAAAAAAAAAAAGGAAGAACAAAAAACAGAGGCTAAGAAAATAGATTAGACTTTCAGAAATTTGATCAGTATTTTGGGCTAAGAAAACGAGTTTAGACTTTCATAAATGTGTTGAGACTTTTGGGCTAACAAGAGTTTAGACTTTCGGAAATTTGTTGAAACATTTGTACGCTTATGAATTGTACTGCTGACTGATATCATATTTCCACAACACAATTCGAGTCACACTCTTCACCCAACCCACCAATCGACGAGTTATGGATGATACTTTCTTTGGTTTTCGCCGATTTAAGTCGGGTTAAATTTAATTTGCCCTTTTTCAAAACATTATGCTGTACGGATTAAATTATTTAAAATGGACATTTAAAAACAATAAGTTGAAATAAAAATTTGTTCTTAGAAAAACATGGCATACAAAACATTAGAATGTAAAAAATATTATTTATAAAAATAAATCAAGAAATACATTGCTTATTAATTATGTCTCCAGCAAGGCTCAGGTCTACACAGCCTGACTATCCACGTAAATTTTTTTTTTTTTTTTACTTTCTTTCTTTTTTTCTTTTTTCGTTCTTCTTTTTATAAGCAATATCAACGAAATATTTTGATCAATATTTTGAGAGACGGAGTTAAAACAATTAATTTGGGATCCAGCTGAAGCCAAAAATGAAAACGACGAACTACAAAAGTTTTGCTGCTTTGAAATAGATGTGCTTTAAGCCCGACCCTCAGAGCCGCCACTGATATATATATATATATATATATATATATATATATATATATATATAGAGAGAGAGAGAGAGACAGACAGATAGACAGACATATGAATTACTGTATTTATTTGAGTTTGACGATTTCACTTCGTAACTTTGTTCTTGGGCTGCCACTCCATTGCTAATGACCAAGCATTCTCTCTTCTTATAATTAAGGGTTAATCCTTTATTCACCATGCTAACCCTACAACAAGGATCTGTTTGCTAAACTTTGTCTGGAACATGACCACAATCGGGAACCCAGCAAGTCGTTTCAATTCCAATTTGCCTACGAGACGCTTTTGTTAAGCATTCATCCTCATGCCCCGTAACTGCTTTAATTGTCGGGGGATAGAAGAAAGAGATTTTTTCATTCTTCTTCCTCATTATCTTTACATTGATCTTTTAGATAGCTTGACGGCGACCATCTCCTCTCCAAGCTCTTGACCGACAGCCGAAGGCCACCACAGAATATGGTGTGGGTCGTCTGCGTATGGTGAGCCCTCAGGTTTTGAATTTTCCTTTTCTTTTCCTAGACCGGTTGTCCCCCAAGAGACTATATGTCCTATTCTGTCCTGATATTTACCTATAAAAGCTCGCATTCAAAAGGTTATGGTATCTATCTATCTATCTATCTCAGTCTGTTCATTATCTATCTCTGTTCTCTATTTATCTATCTCAGTCTGTTCATTATTTATCTCTGTTCTCTATCTATCTATCTATCTCAGTCTGTTCATTATCTATCTATTGGATAATGATTTTCTGTGCGTAGCTCAGATGTGGCACAAGGCCGAAAGTATGGGGTACCCAGTGAGGATCGAACTCACTACTCAGTCGTAATTGTTCTAGCGAGACAAGCTTGCTAACCATTACACCACCTCAAGGTGTCCCATCTATCTATTGGATATGAGAGTAGTATAACTGTTAGTGTCCCGAAAAGAAAAGTCTGGCTGGGGGCGTTCGAATTCATATCGACTTCCTTACATTCACTTTCGAACACAAATACTTTTGAAATGGTATCTATATACGGGTTGTAAAAGCAAATGGTATCTATATACGGGTTGTAAAAGCAAATGGTATCTATATACGGGTTGTAAAAGCAAAATTGTCCAAATCTTGTAAAAGTCATGGGACAATTGTCCATCCCATAAAAGTTTTAATATCTTTTTTAACAAAAGAAAATGGAGTTTTTTTTCCAGGTTTTCAGATAAGATGTTTAGCCATCTTGACAAGATTTGTCGTAAGAATCACTGAAAAACCCTTTGAGTTATTAAGCTATAAAAAGAACAGGTTAAATCATTTTGTGTCAGCCCCACAATGTCCCAACTGGGCAATAGTGAGACGAAAAAAATTATTCAGGCCTTCAGTAATGTTACTAACATTCATACTTTGGTTTCCATCTTCAACGGTCATTCAAGAACCATCAAGAGAACGGTGAATAACGGTGAACAGTAGAAGGAAAACTGGATCAGGAGGTCACAACAGGAAGAAGGATCCTCATTTCAACTTAGAGCTAAATACATTCTTATTGTTCAATGTAGAGCCCAACAGTGTTATGAAAACGTCGGAGAATTCCAGTAAGATATCTTTAATCATTTCTGAAATACAACAGTTGAAAACTTAATCTAACATTTGAACAATTTTGATGTTACATCCGGTATGTCTCCCAAATTATGGGTTAAATTGCAGGGTGGACTACACTCTCACGCCTTGGTTGAAGGAGGAGGACAAGGCTGAATTGAAAACCTGAGAAGAACTGTTTGTAGACACCTTGGACCACTGTGAAAAGTTTGATTCGCCAATAAAATCGAATCTTATTTGAAGGTAGTCTGGTGGTTCTGTTCTAAGGACTGTATTCATCAGGGCAAGACTGGCAAACACACACGTGCGGCGCATGCACACACACATGCACATGCGCGCACACACACACACACGTATATAGAGATTTTCTAAGTGTATCTTATATGTGGCACAAAGCCGAAAGTATTATGTACCCAGTGAGGATCGAACTCAATATTCAGTGGTAATGTGATCTAGCAAGACGTACTTACTAAACATTATACCACGTCGAAGCGCCCGTATACACCCCCACAAACACACACACACACATATATATATATATGTCTAATCAAATAAATAAACGTTCATGCAAGTGCTCATATATATATATATATACTGATTATATATATATATATATATATATATATATATATACAGGGTGGTCCAAAAGTAGGTGGATTGTATGTGGAATAGGTTTATGTATCGGTTATATTATTACAACTGTGTATCTTGATGAAACATTTCCTGAGAAATGCATTGGCCGAAGAGGTCTTATTGATTGGCCGAAGAGGTCCAATTGATTGGCCGGCACGTTCACCAGACGTGACCCCAATGGATTTCTTCTTTTGGGGAGTACTCAAGGGCAAAGTTTATAGTCGAAAACTAAGAAGTGTCGGTGTTTTGAAAAATTACATAAGAGATGCATTTCAAGAAATTAATACCCAAAAACACTTGTGCTAAAAAGTTTGTCGAAGCTTTAGAGGTAGACTTCAAAGTTGTGTAAATTGTGATGGAAAACAGTCTGAGCACCTGCGTTGATAAAATTTAAGGGATTTTGTATTATTGTTCACAATAAAATTTAATTGTCAATGTAATAATTGTGTTGGTAAATATAATTGTATGTATATGTAATCTCAAAATAAATGTAATTATTTACTGTCCACCTACTTTTGGATCACCCAGTATATGGAGAGAGAGAGAGAGAGAGAGAGAGAGAGAGAGAGAGAGAGAGAGAGAGAGAGAGAGAGAGAATTGTAAAAGGAGAACATTCCATGGTGACGTCAGGCCTTTTCAAATGTTATGCAAGGTCCATATGCTCTTGCTAGAAATGCTCGTGAACTTTAATGATTACCATGGAATATTTTACGTCTAAATGAAAACGTCGATTTATTTTGTTCGATTGGTTTTTATATTTATTTTCGATCGAGTAGCAAAAAGAAAATAACGAGTCGTGCAACAAAGTTTTTCAATTAGCATTCGCTGTCAGAAATCTGGCCTATTTCGAAACAAAATCATTATCCAAAAAAACTTCATGACGCTTTCTAAATATAAGGTCAGAACTAAGTACGAGACTTTTTTTTAAGCATTCCCCACTCCCAAGCAAGGTGGAAGTTCCACTAGCACGCAAGGGCTTACAGAGAGTGAGGCCAAGATTAAAGAGGGGAGTTTGAGGAAAGGATATAGAGAAGGACGGGGATCAGAATTAACGCATCAGAAGATGTTGATTGACATTACATTTGAATATTTGAAGATTATAGCTATCAGGGAAGGAAGTAGGAGGAAGGGAGTTCCACTGTCGGGAAGTGTGGTAGAAGAAGCTGTTGGAGTAGAAGAGGCGGTTACATTTAACTGTTTCGACGGTGAAATGGTGGAACCGAAATGCCAACCTAGTAGCACGCTTAAATTCATGCAGTTTGGGAACCAGTGAAAGTAGTTCGTCAGAGCAGCTGCCATGAAAATACTTGTAGAAAAGACAGAGGGAAGCCACATCACATATGTAAGAAAGTGACTAAATGAGACGCTAGTTTTGAATCCGAGCATTTAAAAGTCAATTCAAGACAAGAGATTCCCGTAGGCAACTTGGAATTGTAACGACTTCGATCCTTGCTGGGTTCCCTATTGTGGTCATGTCCCAGAAAAAGCTTAGCATACAGATTCTTGTCGTAAAGGAAGGGTTAACACGTTGAAGAAAGGGTTAACCCTAAACTGTAAGAGGACAAAATGTTTGATCATTGTCAGTGTGAGGTGGGGGACAGCCTAAGAATTGAGCCAACGAATTAGAGACATCAGAATTAAGCAAATACAAACATTAAACCGTGGAATATGCACATATGATAAAAGATGCCGAAATACGAAGTCGCATTAAAAAAAAAAACGAAATATATCTTCTAAAAGCTAAGCAAAATATTAATTAACAGGAAAATTTCGTTAGAAACACAAAAAATAGTGCTACACTGCCATATCATATCAATCCTCGTATATTGCAGTGAATGCAGGACAATCTCCTCACAGATTTCAGGCAACAGAAAAGTGGTTCTACAGAAGGATGCTGAGTATAATACGTGCGAAATATGTGAGTAACGAGGAAGTTTTATGGAAAATGAAAACAAATGAGAGAATGTACTTAGAATCATAACTAGGTTATTGATATTTCTGGAGCACATAATGAAGAAAGAAGGCTTGGAAATTTTGACACTCGCAGGATATAGCGATAGCATGAGAAACAGAGAGAAGCATCGAGTAAATTTCCTCCAATCTTGTGTAAATGGATGAAGAGAGACTGAAGATGGATATTAAGGGCACTAAATTTGCTTAACGTTACAAAGAATAGGAAGTTGTGGATAGTCATAATCATAAATGTGCTAGGTATATTTGAGTTTAATAAATGTCTGATAGACCGCACTGTAGGACGATTATTTTTTAATGTTACACATGCAAATCATTTGATTCACACTGGAGGCTTCGATCTGAGACCCTTGTGCCAGATTTATTCCAGTTTAACAAATATTTATGAGTATTTACTAGAGTAAAGACTAGGATCATTACACTTGTGTGTGTGAGAGAGAGAGAGAGAGATGGAGAGAGATAACTCTGAATTTAAAGCCAATCTGCAGAGGGATTGGATCGATCAAGCTATCTTGATCGAGACACACCAACTGTCGCTACAGCTGAAGTACATGTGGGGACAATTCAATCATAATGGGCCACGGGAATCGTGACTCGAGAGCAGAGGTCGGCAAACTACTACCATTGGGTCAACCCCAATTTGCTGAGATATTTCAACCAGCTCACATACAAATGGTATATTCTGTTATTCGGAAATAATAATTTTTATATTTTTTAAGGTACCGATATTTAAAAGAGCGTCTATGGTTGTATAGACGCTGCTTCCAATTACCAGCGGATATACCCATGTATCTTTTTTTCTGGTTTTTCTCCGGGGAAGATTGTTGCTCCATATATTCCATTCTTACACAACCATAGACGCTCTTTAAATGTCTATACCTTAAAAATCAAATTTCCTTATCCAAACACTACTGGGACTAACCCCGGATTTTGAATGGAGATTCTTATCAAGAGCGAGAACCCCTAATAACTTCCGCGATCGTTGTGATCTATGCATTGCGGAAAAAAATTATTATTAAAGAAAAAAATCAAAATGAGTTGTTGAATCTTCGTAGTGAGATCATTTCCAAATGTAGACATAAAAACGCTTTAAAACATAAACACGGTTTTATAACGTGTTGTTACCTATAACAGTTCCATCTTGGATCACTAACATCGGACATGACATTTGAATGGAATTACTCTTATGATTATCTATATATATCATTGTCTGTGTTTATGTGATGCTCTATATATTTTTTGATCATTTAACTTGTGTTAGCGAACTTTATTCATGTGATGGTATATGTGTATGTGGCTATGTAGGTAAAAAGTTTTCCTAAATAATTGATATAAAAAATCTGATAGTTTTCTGATATTTTTATATACCTAGGTATATATGTAGACTTAAAAGATATATATATACACATGCACACACACACGGTAGTTTTTTTTTGAGTACAAATTAGTTTAATTCTACCCATCTATTTTTATATGTTAAATTTATGTATGGATGGATGTGTGTTTTCCTTTTTATATATATATATATATATATATATATATATATATATATATATATATGTGTGTGTGT